TCTGCTGTTGCTGATCATTGTCTTAACGCAGTGGGCTCACACGAAATTGACTTTTCCAAGAAGAAGGTACTCTGCAAACCCACCAGCTATTACCAGAGATTTGTTCATGCAGCCATCCAGATATATAAATACAGACACAACTTCAACCGAGAAGATGGGTACAAACTGAGCAATCATGGGAAGGACGTTATTAACCAGGTAAAGTCTTAACTGACTGAGATGTTTCCATCCTACCTATGTCAGATGTTATTTCCGACTCTCTGTGTGTCTTTCTCTCTCTGTGCATCTCTCTTCGATCTCTACTCCAGTGACCCAGGTGCTGCCGCGGGGTCCACTTTCTTCCCGTGCCTCCCCCCCCTCCCCCCTTCTCTCTCCCCCCTGCAGCCGATCTCTCCAGTGCTGCCGCGGTGGTCCACTTTACTCCAGTGACCCGGGTGCTGCTGTGGGGTCTACTTTCTGCCCCGCCTCCTCCCCCCCCTTCTCTCTCCCCCCATACTGCCGAGACCTATATAACCTCGTGCCACAGCAGATCTCTCGCCTACTTCAGCAATTTTTTCTTGCCGTGGTTGTCCCACCTGATGACGATTGCTTGTGTTGCGATCGAAACGTCGTGATCTATTATTTTTCTACCTACGTGACTTTACCGAAAGAACCAAAGGGTATGGATTCCTGCAGTCACGAAAGCTTCAAATCATAATTAGCAATAGCAGTAATTATTGTAATTGTTGGTCTCGCGTTATGAGGGAACCACAGCAGCGGCTACGGCGCCATGACGAGCGGCATCGTAAGCGTGCCTCTCATTGGTCAGAAGAGCCTCAACAACAGCAGCTGCTCTGATTGGATAATACGTTTTTCCTCGTAGCTGGGCGCAACCTTTTGTGATTTAAAATAGGGGGGACTGTAAGTCTATTCATTATCTTGATTTGAAGCTTTCCTGACTGCAGGAATCCATACTCTCCTGTTCTTTCTTTCTTTCGTGATTTATTTTATTTTATACCTAAGTGACTTTACCGAAAGAACCAAAGAGTATAGTATTCATTATTACAATTAAGTCACAAAACACGAATAGGGCCAGGATTAGCGGGACCTAGACCATTTTTTTAAATGAAATAATTGAATTTCAGCTCATATTTAATGTGGCGCTGCACTCTGATGTTGTAGGCGAAAACATTTATTAAAAAGTAGATTTAATTAAGTAGAACGTGTTGTCTATATTTATTTAATGTTGCGCATTTTGATGTGACGTCACATTTCTCAAACCCCCCCCCTCGTCACACATCGTCACAAATGTCTGACCCCCCCCCCCCCCCAGGTGCGTGACGTAATTTATGGACGGCCCCATACTATAATGAGCCAATAATGTATGTTTGTGTGTAACGCGCGTGACGTCACTCCACATGCCGCACCCCCCCCCCCCCCCGTCATTAATGTTCATGAGCGGGTGGATTTTTACACTCGCGTAGAGTATACATTTTTTTTTATTCCGCTCGACCTTCTGCGTGAATGTAAAAATCCACTTTCTCGGTGATTTTCCAGATATTGTATCTAATTCCAATTTATTTCAACCCCAGCGACCGAAAGCAGAAGAGAATAAACTATCAGAGCAGTGAATTTGAACAAATTGAAGGTCAGCTATACACAGTACTACAGTGACATGAAGTGATGTGTGTTATGACATAGTTTTGTGCAAGAATCACTTCTATTAATATAGTACTACAGTACAACGCAGTGAAGTGTTTGATGATGTACTTTTGTTCAAGATTCACTGGCAATAAATTTACATAAGAACAATTATACTCTGCTCAATTTTTTCGTAAATATTACAGCTTCCGTCCTCGGACGGGCAAACAAGCTAGTAACAGTATAACAGCATAGTCTTGATAATAAACATAGTAGGGCTGATATGTGGCCACTGTGGCAACCCTACCTACTCACAACTCACCTGACACTCAACACTCGCTCACCACTCACCGTTTCGCCAGCACGGGCCTTCACTGTGACAGACGCAAGGGCGGAATGATGTGAGAAAGACATTGCGAAGGCTGTTTACGCACGTCTCGAATGGAAGGGCCTTTGCTATTGATGCCCCCAGGGTCTGGAATGCTATTGCTAATAAACTGCAAATTGAATCACTACCTACGAGATCTTCACTCAAAACTGCTCTAGAGGAGTTGTACACCCCTAGTTGTCACTGCTATTCAGTGGCCTAAAATCAAATGTTTCGCTCCGGATGAACGCTGCAAAGTATGATCTTGTGTTTTGATTTGATGTGCTGATCTTTAAAGGTGCATTTGAAACATTTGATACTCCTACTGATGCTGTTGTGGAGTGACTCATGCAGCTACAGTAGCTATGGCTGCAGGGTTTGGTGGTACATTTTGTTTATGCCGTTTATTGTGAAATTTCGGTCACAGTTCCTATGATCACTGTTACATTGCTTTTATGGCTTTATTTTGGTGATTTCGAAAGTTTTTTGGTTTGGCCATGTTTGTTTGTTGTAGTACGGAGTTAAACTGATGGCTTTAATCTAAGTTGTCTTGTGGTTGTGGTTGTTTGACTTGCATCCCACTGGGATTTTTGCACACAGCGTTGGTGTACGATGCTTTTTCTGGAAGATTTTGCTGTTTTTTCCTGGATTTTTCTGTTTGCGCATAGTCACTTTAAGATGTTTTCTTGTTCATGTTTTGGTGTTTTGTTTGTTGCGGTTGCACCCGATTCAAGAGCCGAATGGCTCACAGGGCTATACGAAATAAATGAAATGAAACTGACCAGACCTCTCCTAGCAACACAGGCGATATGGACTCCATGGCATATACCACCAGCATGGGATCTACAGTGTATCTGCTGTCGAGCAAAACACAGCTGCGCGTTGCAAATGTTCGTGCAAACTGCATGACTGCGATGGAGAGATTGGTGCAGACCGTGAAGTGAGCTACCATACACGGCACTGTTCACACTTACCTTGAGAACAGATTCACACACACACGTGTTGATGTCAATGCTGACGCTTACTAGACGCGTTTCATCCTGCGGTAATATACCGTCTCAGACCCACCCACAGTGTTTACACCTGCACGCACGGTATTTACACCTGCACGCACGGTGTTTACACCTGCACACACGGTGTTTACACCTGCAGGCAGAGCAAAGGCAACACAAGCGTGGTGACTAGTAAGAAAGTGGCACGCAAAACAAGACAGATATGATACGTGTATGCACTCCCAGAGGGTCGTTTGGCTGATGGGATGTGTAAAAAATACTTTTATTTTTATGATGAGGGAAGATATGGGTCGCAGGCGAAATGTCAACTTATGTATACTTTCTTAACGAGTCGTTATCTCCCATCTTGAATCATAAGAATAACACTATGTAACACGATTTTTGTTCCTGGGTAGTAAGTGTTATTTTCTAATTGCTTATGCCTCAATAGTATAAAAAATGGTTATTATTCCGCCCAAACTTCGCTTTTGTGAGCAGGATTTTACGTGAAGGAATGACTCAAATGCGCACGTTTTCTCATTTAAAATAGGTCAATTTCAAAATATCACTGTCCTGGTCACAAAAGCAAAGTCTGTGCGGAAATAACCATTTTCTATACTTTTGAGGCATAAGCAATTAGAAAATAACACTACCCAGGAACAATTTTTTTTTGTTACACAGTGTCATTTACACATTGCAATGCAATTACTTTTGTAGTGACTTGTAACGTCACTACTGTGGGCACACACACACGTGTTTGACGTCACTATGCGGGGGGAGCGTCACTACCATGCGGGTCTACACACACACATGACGTCATCCCGTCTGGAGGCGGGAATAACGCCACGGCCGGTTCAGGGGATCTGGAAGCCGTGGGTGAGTGCCGCGGGGGTTGCGTGAGGCCGTGGCCCTCTGAGTGAACCCGGCTGGACACGTGACCGGATCAAGGCGGGGGCCAGGAGCCCCGGGGGCACCTTGGGGGCCACGTGGACAGGAGAGGAGCTTATACTCTTAGGTTTTTTCGGTAAAGTCACGTAGGTAAAAAATAAAATAAAAAATTACTAAAAGTAATCATAGAAATAAAATAATAAATTACGACGTTTCGGAGGCAACACAAGTCTCCGTCATCAGGTGGGACCGTCACAGCTAGAATTGCCGTACCTGATGACGGAGACTTGTGTTGCCTCCGAAACGTCGTGATTTATTATTTTATTTTATTTCTATTATTACTTTTAGTAATTTTTTTATTTTATTTTTTACCTACGTGACTTTACCGAAAAAACCTAAGAGTATGAATCATTGCAGTCACGAAAGCTTCAAATCTAGAAGGAGAGGAGCTTCTCGAGAGTTCTCGAAGGTGGGCGTGGCCGGGGTGTGGCCCGGACACGCCGAGGCGCATATAAGCGGCCTCCGCATCGGGTTCGAGGCTGCTCATGTCAAGGAAGAAGATGCCTCGTGAAGACGCCTCGTGAATACGAGTCAAGGCTCAAGTCAGCGTGGCCAATCAATAGCCCTCCTGGCTTGGTCATGCTCGATTTATCCGAGAGTCAGTGTTAGTGAGTGATAGTGTGTGTTAGCGAGAATAGGTCGGTGGTCACCACCCTATATTAAAGTGTTACGTTCAGTTAACAATAAACAGTGTTGCCTCCCAAGCAGTTGTGAGTGCGCCTAATTCGAGGACATTTCAGATGTGTGTGTGTGTAGAGTTTGTGTGGGGATAAGTTCGGGTTGAGTGTGAGGGTTACGCAATGGACAAGGAACACGCCAATCGAAGTGATTAAAATAAAAATGTATATCTCGGTGTACGTGTGTGTGTGTAAATACGTGTTCCACGTGTATATATACACGTGTTCCGTGTGTGTGTAAATAGGTGTTCAATGTGTGTGTAAAGGTGTTCTGTGTATGTGTACACCTGTTCCAGGTGTGTGTGTACAAGTGGTCCAAGTGACGCAGACAGCAATAATTCCTTAGCACCTCACGTGAGACGTGTTTAACAATCATCAGGCGAGTGCGACGTGGAATGAGTTAATTTGCAATTTATTAGTGAGGAGTAAATTGGCAAATACGGAAAGACTAGCGTGGTTGATCGCGAAGAGTGCAGTTTGGGAAACTCTGCCTGAATATCTGATTGTTAACAGCTCTTGCCTCTACATTTGTAGGCTATACAGGGGATATTTTTCTTTCTTACACGAGTGTGTGTGTGTTTGGTGCATGCACGCACATGTGTACACGACCGCACAAATGACCGACTTTCTGTTGAAATCTAAATTCAACCCTCTACAAATTTACCCATTGTATTCTCCTTTTTTTAATACAAAATTTGGATTCTGAGCAAAGTTCGGGTAGAACCTGTCATTGGAATTAATCGCAGACTGCGGTGCCTGCACAGGCAGATCCATCACTTTCAGCCACACGATGGAGGCCGACTCGTCGAGCATCTTGGCCTTAACTTTGAGCGCGGTCGAGGAGCACTCGGCCGTCAAATCCGACCCTCGTGCCATGGACTTCGCGAACGTCGTTCTTGCATTCTTCAAATCTCGTTTCATCATCTCGTCGTAGAGCCTTGCCGGTGTGTTCTCAGGTACCCAGTTCTGCAAGGAGATCGCGAACTGCCTACTGAAGGCCATTGTGAAAGGGTTGCTGAACATAAGGCACAGGCATTTGTCGGAATCCTTGATGCGGTAGATGAGTATACCGGTGCAGCCAAAGAAGCCGGTCTTCACCTTGCGGAATCCGCACGCCCGTTTCTCGTTCGGGAAAATCTCGCTGGGGATACTGTACTCCACCGTGCCGCTTTCCATGTACCATCTGTGGAGAATGTGGTTCATTCATTAAATGTGGCTGCATTATATATACAGTCCTCGACTTATGAACGCCCGACTTACGAACGCCCGTATATTTAAAAAAATCTACTTTGATTTGTGTGTGTGCACGTGCACGTGTGTGTGAAAGTGAGTGCATGCATGGTTCGTCGACTAAGGGTTTTGGGGCGCCGCCCCACCAAGCAGCTGGAGATGAGAAATAACTTTTATAATAAAAAAACTTTTCTATAAATTATTTTGTTGTGTTTTTTTTAATGTAATGGTTCTTTCGACGTGAATTGCCTAAAGAGGAAAACATTTTAAGTTCATATTAGAAACGGCTGCAACACAGTCTAATTTGTGCCTCGGGGAGGTCTCGGGGCGGCTGTGAATGCGTCCGAGTGAGAGATTTACCCCTGATTCATTGCGATTAGCTTCGCATTTTAGCCACGCCGTTTGATGCCCATTCAGGGCGGTGAAAAAGACGCCCATGGCTGTAATGACGATGTCACAACGCAAGGTTGCACTGTGCAAATATAGCAGGTCACGGCCTACACGCTCTAAGAGGAAACGACAGCAATGTGTAGTCGAATGTCACAATAGGCATATCTTTCCATTAGAAAATGTAGTCGGTGTAAAATGATGTTACGGTTGCCACGGATAACAGTGAGATCATCAGTGACCACACAACGACACAAGCTCTCATGGAAGTGAAGTAAATAGTGAGGCCTTTGTACATGGTATTAACGTCGTCAGTGAATGCAGATCAAAGCTTTTTCTGTCGGTGGGTGTACGACGGTATGTGGCTGTTAATGTATAGTATGCGGTGTTTTGGTTGAGTCGTGTCAGCTGATCATTAATTGTTGTTTAGGCTTTGGGCAGTGTCAAACGGGTTGTGTAGTATTGATTTGAGGGTCATGGGGGCAGCATTTGAGTACTTTGTTGTTTTGTTTCGTATTTATAAATTATTGCAGCTGGTAGATAACGCAGTTATATTACTTTCACGGGAAGGCCAATAACATGACGAGGTTTTTCTTAATTAGAACACCATCTTTTCAGAGGTCACTCACAACAGCCCCACCTCGTGGAAATGTTATGAGCCGCCACTGAGTGAGTGTGTTGGGTGCGGTAGTGTTGCAGTTTGCGCTGCGTTACGAAAGCAGTGACCCGAATTTTTTTTCTCTTACGACCAACACCAGTACCTGGTGTGCTGTGCGAACATCACCATTGAGTAGACAAAGGCGGCCAGGCGTGGTCTTGTGCCGTAGCACTTATACAGACGGACCTCGCCAAACGGGCGTGGGTTACATTCCTGAAAAATTCCGTGTTGGGCAAAACTGCGTTCAACAAACAATAAACCTCCGAGGTAAAACTAGGGTTGCGTGTTCCTGGGTCCGAAATGATCACCCCCTGCCTCTTCGTTTGACGAATTATATAAGACTACCGCGCTTGTTATTGCACTAAATAATGCTGAATCGTTCTCCAGTTCTTGTGTGTGTGTGTACACTATTTTTAAATCTCACGTCAACACAAAACCCCCGTCTCCATTCCTCTTCCTGCACGTTGGCACTGCATTCCCAAGCTCTCTCCTAACACTGTCACTTAAACGTTGATGATTCGCCATCTAGGCGTCCGTGTATGACTCAGGTCCTCAACGAGCAAGACGGTTAGTTGCACGCAGCAATGTGGTGGACAATTTGCGTTAAGCCGTTTGCGCTTGTTGAGTGCTTTAAATTGTCGCACACGCACACAGATGTGGGTTGACTGACTGAGATAGCATTTCACCACGACTCACACGGGCGCATACAGCATGCGGCCGGAGAAGTTTGAGATCTCCACGGCCACCTTGCAGCTCGTGGGAGTCCCAGCGATGACGGCCTCCACGTCCACCCCCTTGCACTCCAACGTCCCGGTTTCTGCCATCTGGGTTCCTGCTAGAGCAAAATAGCAACGAAGAAAATGTTGGGTTTGGATGGAATACGCCTAGATCACGAATATAATTTGTATCCACTCTCTCTACGTCAGTAGAAGAACAAGTGAAGTAATGGCTGAATGGTGGAATAGTATGTCTTAAAACTATGTGCACTTCGAGGCCACGTAAAGTGTCTAAGGCTCACTGGCAGGTCAGGGAACAGACCAAGGTGTCATGGGTTGACTGACTGAGATGACTGGCAAATGCACCAACCGTACCAAATTTTTGTGTTTTTGTTGCCTGCTGCTCCGCTCGTAATGAGTGTCACTCCTTAGTCCTGCCTATTGTTGGAGGATGACTGCCTCCAACTGCACAGAAGCGACCTTTTCGGGCTTCATCATCCATAGAAACCGATCTAGACACTGCTCGCACCGGTCATCGGCAAGTCCACTCAGCTCCACATCCTCCTGTACCACGTAAACCCATCTCATTTCTAAGTGCGTCGAGCCTGGCACAGGCGCCGTCGTGACGTCACCCCGACTCATTGGCGAACGTTGGTTATTATTATTGTTGTTGTTTTAAAACCGATTCAGTTGATATTGAAACTGTGAAATTAAAGATATCTCACCTGGCAGTGACGCTGTCTTGACTCTGTGCTCTCGGTCCGTGGGGTTATGCGCATTGGAGGGCTCTCCAAAGACGCGTTAAAGGCGACCTCACCTCTCGCCCACGCGCTTCCTTGTCCCGGATTGGCCGACGGGAGAGGCGAGTCACATGTGCAGGTATTGTGGGGGCCCTGTGTGGTACACGCACACACAGAATATGTGTAACAAGACACGCGTGCGTGTTTATCTTGCTGACACACCCTGAGTGGAAATATGTGAGAAAAAAGCGTAAAAGGTCATCACATTCCTCCAGACTAAATAAAGATTCTGTTTTTGAACAGTTGTCCATCATTATCATGAACACCATCATCATGATAATCCACGGTCTATCCACTGCTGGATAAAGCCCCCCCGCCCCCCCCAAAGACAAATATCCCAAGTATAGTCATAAGAGACTGTTGGGGCAAATGCTGTTAGCAAGCACCTATGAAGGTCAGAATGGGACACAAGGGTGAGTGGCCAGCACCACGCCCGACCGCCTTTGTCTCCCTAGTGGCAATGTTTACAGACCGCACCAGGTACTAATAAAATAAAAAAAAACGCCCAGCACATTCGTTCACTATATCACCACTGTGCGCGGCCTTTAATGGAAACTTAAATGTGACGTTTCAGGCAATGGCCCTTCTCTATAGCACCTACATTGCCTAATATGTCCCCTTTCATGTGTTTCTCCATTTAAGCTCTCCGAGTGTTATGGCCGGGCTTGTTGGGTCGTTGTGGTGCAGCATTCTGCCACATGCAGGCCAATTCCCACCACTCCCGAGCGCTTAATAAATAAGACAATGGGTTGTTAATCGCCACAATTGATCTCTTAAATAGCCTTAGAACTACTAGACATCGCTAGCCCATGTATAAGACACAAAACATTCTCAACTATTTTAAAAGGAAGATCCATGGTGCGTGGGAACAGCAACAAAAAAATACTGACAAAAGTTAATATTGCGGAGAACGAGGAGAAAGTGTTTAAGGAATATTGCAAAAGTCACAAATGAGGGAGTTAATGGTCACAAATAAACGCAAACGATAATTGGTTTTTTACCCTTCTATCTGGCAACAAAACTGACACCTTTTTACAAGGCGTCATGTTTGCATAGACCACAATACCTGCAGTCATAATGCAAACAAAAAACACAACTCTGATAATGTGCACTGTCCTTGAAGTTGATTGGTCCACACCCGAGACAGCTTTCCTTAGAGCCTAGTCTCACATGGGTTGGACCAGATGACGCCAAAAGGCGCACAACTCAAAGACAATGCACCATCAGAGTATGAGAGCTCGGGGCAAGCATCTACACTATGGGAACCTCATTTGCCAGTAAAAATATGATAATTGTTTTTTACCCTTCTATCTGGCAACAAAACTGACACCTTTTTACAAGGAGTCATGTTTGCATAGACCACAATACCTGCAGTCATAATGCAAAAGGAAACATTGGGGTACATCTGTAGTGACATAAGAAGGGAGGGGCTGCTGGGGGCTCTGGGACCCTGGGTGGGCCAGACGCTTAAGCCTCTTGGCACCAGGCATTGGGTTCTCAGGCGCTTAAGCCTCTTGGCGCCGCCAACGGGGGGGGGGGCTGTGTGTGCTCTGTGGGATGTCTGGTGGCGCACACGGCCCCACCCCTCGTTGGACCAGGCATAAAAGGAGAGCTCCCTGGACGATCAGGGCCCAGTTGTAACTCAAGACCCAAGACCCACGACCAGCCATCTGAAGACCCTGGGATGCTGTGAGAGCCAGTGGTGGGACTCTGGAACTCCCGACTCAACCCGACGACGCTGGGACTCTGGAACTCCCGACTCTACGACCTTGTGAGGGCGAGTTCCACAGCGTAGCCAGAGTAGAGTATCTAGGCTGTGTACCTAGGCTGTAACAGAGTATCAGGAGTGTTGGAGAGTTGGAGTGTTGGAGTACTGTTGGAGTACTGTTGGAGTGTTGTATTATAATAAATAAGTTACCTCTACATGTGTCTCCAGAACCCGTTACATTTGGCGTCAGAAGTGGCAAAGAAGGGAGCCACGTACCTGACAGCGATGTTGAAGAGCAAGCGGGGACGGGGCAGCCAACTCGGGCCGACAACGACGCTGCACCGCCGGCTGAGCAGTCGTCCACCACACCTGCCGATCCTCCTCCAGCGTCGGGAGCAGCAATGGAGGAAACGCTGCTTCGCCTCACCGAGCTGCTCCACGCCACCGTCTCCATCCTGGACGACATGCGTCGCTCACAGGCGGAGACAGCAGGGAGAGAGGCGGCGTAGCGGCCGCGCCATCCCGCCGGCTCCCACACAAAGATGGCAGCCGTTCCCGCCGCAAATACATCCGGGTGTGTCGTCACTTCTGCCGGGGGAGCAATGACCGCTGGGAGCGACGTCACTTCCGGGCCCAGCGTGGGCCAACCCGACGACGCCGCGTCATCAACGCTGCGTCCCTCACCGCCGGGTGACAGCTGTTTGCAACCTAGCAACGCCGTGTCATCAGCGCTGCGACCTTCACTGCCGGACGACAGCTGGCTTCAACCTAGCATACCGCGTCATCAGCGCTGCGACCGGACAGTGAGGCGCCATTCTTACTGTAACCAGCGCCAGGGCCAGCACATAGACCGACACGCTGGTCGCCGCCTGTGCTGCTCTGGCCAAAGGTTGGAGGTCGGGAGACCAGGCCCCTGACATTTCGTACATTTACACGCTCCGGATGAATGATTTCCTTGTTGACATTTTCTTCGTTGTCGTCGGGGAGTCGTGACTGTTGTTGAGTAAACTGTGTGGAGCTTCGCTCGTGAGTGTTGTCAATGTGTGTGCGAAACTTTGCTTGTGATTGTTAACAATGTATGGTTTGTATTGAGCTTTGTTCGTGATTGTTAATGTATAGCTTGTGCTGTAATTGTTAACGATGTATAGACTGTATGGGGCATTTATCTTGAGATGATGACATGCTGCCAAGGATTTGGAATTGTCAGGCTGGCTCTCAAATATCTTGGGATGCAGATCCTGACCAGGATGGGCCAGCGGGTGTTGCATGTCTAACACGAGAGTTGTGGTCCCGTCATGCTATGGCTGACGGCTTGACCTGACAGCCCGGAGATAGAGTCACTCCGTGGCATGTCAAGCCTACTGGGCTGTGTGCTCACATGGCTCAGAGAGTGTAGTCCCGTCATGCTATGACTGACGGCTTGACCTGACAGCCCGGAGATAGAGACACTCCGTGGCATGTCTAGCCTAGTGGGCTGTGTGCTCACATGGCTCGGAGAGTGTGGTCCCGTCATGCTATGGCTGACGGCTTGACCTGACAGCCCGGAGATTGAAACACTGCGAGGCGCGTTGAAACAGTGGGCTGGAGATTCGTGGTGTTCATGTGTAGTTGTCCTGTTACGTTGGGACTGTATCCCTCAGTTGTTAGGGTGCATGTTGTGCAGGGAGTGAACGATGGGTCGTCTCAGCTCGGTCGGCACAGCTATATGCTGCGATGCGAGTCTTGGAGAGAGATTGGGTCGTCTCAGCTTGGTCGGTACAGCTATATGCTGCCATGCGAGTCTTGGAGAGAGATTGGTTCTCAGCTCGGTCGGTACAGCTATATGCTGCGATGCGAGTCTTGGAGAGAGATTGGGTCTCAGCTCGGTCGGTACAGCTATATGCTGCGATGCGAGTCTTGGAGAGAGACTGGGTTGAAGCCCCCCGATATGGCCGACGTGCGCGGTTTTAGGATGGAGACGCCACGTTGGAAAGGCGGGGGGTGCTAACGGTTGACATGTAATGTCGGTGGTGGTCCTCATTGACGGCTGCTGGGACGCAAGCACGGGATGCCTTTTGGAGATGCGGTTCGCGCGTGCGGCCACCATTTCTGGACAGGAGCAGGCAGATTTATTTTGTTTGTGTCATGTAAATTTTATATAGATTTTAAAATGTAGATACTGGAGCAGCCCTGAAGTGCGATTTCTTTGCCCAGTACATAGGTCGGCCCTGAAGTACGACTTCTCGACCCGGGACGTAGACAGACGTCCAGATTAGTGTGTGTAGAGGGATGCTCGACATGTTCGTCTTCGCCTTCTCTCCACCTGACGGATGGGAGGCTGGCAGGGTGGTGTGGAACCCTGCCATCCATGCGGTGGTTGTGCATCCAACGCGTCGAAATCTGTATATTTGTTATTGTTAATTCCCCGTTTTCTATGCGGATCCCGAGGAGGGCTAGGTGTGCCGCGGGTCGTTTGTTCACGTGTCATTGCTTCACCTTTTTGTTGATTGATGCTTGTATATAGTGTAGAGTTGTACAGGTTGGTTATGGTAATTATGGTTGCTTTCTTGTTCTCTTTTCTTTTCCTGTTGAGGCTCGCGTATTTTTTTTCTCTCTCTCCCTTTCGTTAATTTAAACTTTCTAATTATTGACAGCCGGGATGGCTGGAGGCTACGTAGAGGGGGGTAATGTAGTGACATAAGAAGGGAGGGGCTGCTGGGGGCTCTGGGACCCTGGGTGGGCCAGACGCTTAAGCCTCTTAGCACCAGGCGTTGGGTTCTCAGGCGGGGCCAGACGCTTAAGCCTCTTAGCACCAGGCATGGGTTCTCAGGCGCTTAAGCCTCTTGGCGCCGCCAATGGGGGGAGGGGGCTGTGTGTGCTCTGTGGGATGTCTGGTGGCGCACACGGCCCCACCCCTCGTTGGACCAGGCATAAAAGGAGTGCTCCCTGGACGATCAGAGCCCAGTTGTAACTCAAGACCCAAGACCCACGACGAACCATCTGAAGACCCTGGGATGCTGTGAGATCCAGTGGTGGGACTCTGGAACTCCCGACTCAACCCAACGACGCTGGGACTCTGGAACTCCCGACTATACGACCTTGTGAGGGCAAGTTCCAGAGCGTAGCCAGAGTAGAGTATCTACGCTGTGTACCTAGGCTGTAACAGAGTATCAGGAGTGTTGGAGAGTTGGAGTGTTGGAGTACTGTTGGAGTGTTGTATTATAATAAAGAAGTTACCTCTACAAGTGTCTCCAGAACCCGCAGCATATAGCTGTACCGACCGAGCTGAGACGACCCATCGTTCACTCCCTGCACAACATGCACCCCACTTCTGACACCAAATGTAACGGGTTCCGGTGACACTTGTAGAGGTAACTTCTTTATTATAATACAACACTCCAACAGTAC